TCCACCAAACTAAATAAACAGCATGTACCTTTAACATGAAGACATCTGCAAACTCCATCACAGCTGCTTTTAAACAGCGTCCGTCCTCACTCTTCCTCCACACCGGATAGAGGAGATTGTAACCGCCTTAAACGGGCACGCTGACATTCACAACACACTTACATGGCTATATCTGGTACCTGAGCATGAGAGCTACACTCTGAATATGTTTTAGGAGAGAAACTTTAAAAACACATGCTGTTATCCACCACTTCTAAAAGCTGTTATGACTGCTTTATTTTCATTGCAGTGGAGGCCTTTCAAGTGTGTCTGTTTAAAACACTTTTTATTTCAACTGCAATTTAAAATAAAATAGTTTTGGAGGATCAGTCTTGAAGTAGTTTAGCCCATGGTTTGACAAATTTAATACATTATTTTGTGGAACCAGAAGCTGCTCAAGTGTGTTGTTCATGAGGGAAATGACAAACAACAACTTTTTACGATCAATAAAAAGTTTTCTTTATCAGGGTTCCTACACAGTTGGAATTTCTATACTTTTCTATACCCTAATCTTTAGAATTATTTTTAGAAATACCTACTATTCTATTTTAGAAAACAGTGTTTTAGAACAGTGGTAATAGTCTGGGAACATAAATATATTTTCCATTCTATATTTTTTTATTTTCCATACTTTTTAAGACCTGGAAATTAATCAAATATATTTTTCATACTTTTCAGTACTTGCGTAGGAACCCTGCTTTTTCTACAAACATCTTTTGCAGGTCTGAATATGAGGAACAATTAAGTATTTTGGCTGTGAAATACAGTATTTCTTGTTTAATATATCTAATGATCAAGACGGGCTTAAGGTACAGCAAACTGAATTTAATTGAAATTTAATTGAAAGTTCAGAGTGAGCTAGTCCAATTGGAGTGATGAAGAGGAGTTCAGGGTTCTTACGGCCTAAAGATAGAAGCTGTTTTTTAGTCTATTCATCTTGGTCCTCAGTACCGTTTGCCCGAAGGCAGCAGACTGAACAGGTGCTGTCCAGGGCGGGAGGAACATGAATCAGTGAAAACGTTAAGAATTGAACAGCTAGCCAATGATACCACAGGATCCCGAGCCAAACTGGTGCCTAAACCGGCATAACTAGCACAGACATGAAGATGTCAATATGCAGGAAAGACCAAAAGGTTGGTGGTGCTAGCTCTGCTATTATTATCTACACTCATCAAAGTCTGCTCAATTCTGACTGTTTCCTCTGCGTACTCTAGTCGAGCACTCGTTCATTAAATCTGTTTAGACGGCTAAGACAGTAGCCGCTTTGCAACAAGCCTAAAACAAACACCCCTCAAAAGGCTGCAATGATCAGAAGAGCAGGATAAAATACCTTTTTGAAAGACCATGCAGCATACTCTGTTTGTTTTTAAACCAAACAACAAGGCGGTTCTGTTCTGTATTCAGCGATGTAAAACCTTGTCCCGCTGTGGAATCTTAAAAACTCTGGTCTTCATCCAGCACTAATACACAGCTTGTCTCAGTATCAAGCGCAGGTTTATCTGATGAGAAATTCATCCGAGGAGTGTTGGGCTTACATCACAGTGAGCAACACTTTGTTCTCCATTGTTCAGAGAGAGTATTGATGTAACTTTTAGACCACACATCCACAGGGAAGAGCTTCACTCACAGCAAAATAACTGGCTCAAGGTCTGGCTCCTGCCGTGCGATCGTCAATTCCACATCTTATCTCCAAGAACTGAGGGAGTCTTTCTGAACTCTTACCACGGGAGGAATATTTGGCAACGGAAAAGGTGTTTACTTCAGGGAACACAAAGAGGGAGCTTGTAGGCTGAAATAGGAAAAACCCTGCAGGAAACAAGAGTTTAAGGCGGACAAATACGCCTGTAGAGTATATAAGTGAGTGACAGAAGGAGAGAAGATGATGAGTTGAAATGCTCTGCCCGTCCTTGTCTACACTTACTTCATCTTTAAAACAACTTAGCGTCACCTTGACATATGGAAATTTAATCAGAACTTCCTCACCTTCTTCCTTGCGCATAAATGATTAAAATTCTGTATTCTTGCTCCATTAAAGTATTGAATACTGAGTGATCTTCACAGCTAATGATCAGTGAGAACTTTTAGCTTACTCACCTCCAACTCGTTATTTTTTCTTTGTGCAAATTTCCACGAACAGACGTATAAGATAGGAGAGAAATTAGCCCTATACGTGTGCCCCAGTGTGACCCACTTTGTAGTTTTTTGTTGAGTATAATGAATTCATGAGTCATGTCTGAGTCAAGCAACTTTTTATCTTATTCTGCAGCAATTACAAGCTCATCCCATCACTAACCAATTTGTCCAGACAGTCTGAGAAAAGTGGAAAGCTCCTGGCAGCAGCCACTTTCATTTCAAGCCATCAGAGGCGAACGGGTCGGAGAGTTTGGTGAGTTAGTGAGTGATTAGGACAAGTTGCTGGACAGCAGCCAGGACCAGGTCATTGGAAAAAAGCAGGTAAGGTATAAATCACTTTTGTTCGATTTAGACTGTGCTGTGTGCTCAACCCCTCGAGTTAAGTGATTTTTTAATTTGCTCAGTAGCTATGGGGAGTGTGAATGACACAGTGTCAGATGCAGCAGCAGATCTGAATCTGCTATCTCATCTAGTCTCAAAGTAATCGGTACTCAAAGCGCTTCAGTTAACCAGAAAAAATGCTTTGAGTGTTGCAACCCGAGAGAGGCTGGTCAAAATTACGACCATGGATGAAATTGGAATTTCAAAGCAGCTAATTTTGGGAATAAATCTTATTTGAGTTCATTTTTACTTTATTCTGAAGTTTATATGCTGATGAGCTGCATAACTTTACAAATCAAAGCTCAGTGGTGACAGACTGCGATGGCGAAATAGTTTAGTTTTAAAACTTGGCTAAATTTTCTCTCGACAATTTATGAAAAAAAAAAAACTGAGAATCTGGGGGGAAAATTTGAGACGAATCAGGGAGTCTGATTTTGGTTTAAGAAGCTATAAAGGCGCTAGTAGGCAGATTTGTGTAACTTCCCTGTTTTTGGATTAGGCTAACCAGTCCTACGGAAGACAAATAGGGCCAAATGAAGAGAAAAATAATAATAACAGGAAGGAGATGAAAGTTGAAATTTCAAGATTAAAGTCAAAATTTCAAGATTAAAAAATTGAAATTTCAAGATTAAAGTCAAAATTTAGAGATAACAGAATGTTGGGAATAATGTTGAAATTGTGGGAGCGAATAATAGACACGTTTTGGGGAAAGTTGTTTCAAGACAGGATGCAGGATACAGCCAGAGAGGCCGGGTCGTGATGAACTTTTCACACATGAATAATGGTTAGAAGAAGTCACGTTGTTGGCTATTAGGCACCAATGTGAAGGCTGCTTACAGGAAAATAGGACTCATGATGACATTGGGGTATTATTAGTAGGAACAGGCATGTTTAGGCTTCTACGGTCCGTCTGATTGTCATGAGTTGTGTTTGATGCTGTAACTAAAATGAAATCACGCAAGTGGCTGCCAGCTTGATTCTGTCTCCGTGTAGTTCTTTTTTGCACCTTTGCATCTATGAAATCTACTATAATATTTCGAGATCAAAATATCAAAATTTCAACTTTATTTACCTAATTTTGATGTTTTTTATAATCTCAAAATTTTGATTTTTTCCATTTCGTCTTTTTAAAATTTGGATTTTAATCTTGAAATTTTGACTTTAAACTCGAAAAGGAAATTAAAAAAAATCTCCCTCCTGTAATTATTTTTTTCTCTCCTTGTCTCCCTTCTCCTCTTTCGTACAGCCCTGACTCCAGTTTCTGATTAAAAGATAACTTTAATTATGCACCCAAGTACCCTAATAACCAGACTGAAAAATAGGTTCTTGGCCATGTTGAATAGTAGAAGTACTATAACTCTGTGTTTAAATTTGAATTTTCTTTTCAACCACTTAAACTCAACGACGACGGATGTCTCGTTGCAATACCAAACTCATAGACTGCTGCAGCATCAGGATCAGAGAGATGATGCCGCAGCAGCTGAGCCTTTTTAATGTACAGCGAGAAACAGGTGCTCTGACAGCATGTTCTTTCCATCCATTAGTAAAAAGAAATCCACAGTGAGGCCACCAGAGAGAGGTGAACATAAGAGAAGTAAACAAGGAGGTTAATGTCACACAGAGGGATAAAACATCTGTCACTCTATGATTCTGAACAAAGAAAAAAGGGAAAAGATTATTTCAACTTTGTTATGTATCTTAAACAGTCTGCAGTCGAGACGGAGAAAATAAAGTTTACCCTAATGCCACGAGGAATACCCTAATGTGTAAATCAACTTTTATTTACTTTAGCTGTATAAGCAATGCTTCGAGAAAATTGGATGGTTTCAGCAACGGAAATCTTCAAGCTGTGTAAGATTAATCCCTGACGTGGTTTTCTGAGGAGTGCAGCTTTTCAGGCAGTAAATGATCCTCTAAACAGGTGAAACAAACACCAGCATGTGAGTTTATCTCATGGGTCTTTTGGCTTTTTATCGTAGTTTTAGCTCCCATGAAAGGAAAACCTAACGCCTAGATTTACGTCGCTACTTATCACACATGGTACAGAGTTTGGAGGAAGCCTTAGAGCCTTTGTTTTCATGTCAGTATTATGAAACACACACCCTGTATGCGATTCGTTACCAACAATAATCTCTGGGTCAAATCCAGATCTAATCCTCTTATATAAAAGTGCTGTGATATTGATGATTAAAAAAAACACACAGGACAGGTCTCTTACTTTATCCTTCTCTTACCTGAAAACTGTAGATGCACTGACTGGAATCTAATCAAATATTGGTTCATCTCTGATTTTCCCAGGAGAGAAAAAACAGAATTTTTCCTCTCACCCACTCCACGCCTGCATTTTCGACAATTTCTCTAGAAACTGTGAATACATCTCAATATATTTTCATCCATTACACAACTGTTTTGCAGGCCTCTGCCCTTTGCGTCTAAAGCAAGGTTGATCAAGTCACGATGTTCGGAGTTTTGATGTTGAACAACTTCACCCTGACCTCAACCCTATATGCCACCTTCAGGTTGAACTAGGCTACCAACTGCAAGGTCAGGCTGCATGTTAATGCTCTCAGGGATGAAATCTCAATCTGAATCCCTGCAGCAAACAAACAAACAAAAAAAAAGCGGTGAAAAGCGCTCAAAGAGGAGTGGAGGATTTTAAAGGCTTGGATTTCAACAGATCTTTAGGAATTAAAATTTTAGTGTCAACCGATGTTTGGCCTTGAATTTGATGAGTTGTTGTTGAAAGATTGACTGTGCAGGTTTGCTTTACTTTACCAGGATGAGGGGATGTGCTCTCAACTATTCTAACTAATCCTGAAATAGTGCAGCATGGAGGAGGAAGCACTTAATAAGTTGACTAAAACAGGGTCAATTGTTATGCTAAATCTATCAAAACATTCCCCCATTAGACGTTCGAGTCTCTATTAGTTCCAGTCACTTAATACCTGAGTAGCTCTAAAAGTTATAAATCTCCATTTGGATGATCCAGACTAAGCTCTGCATGAATCCAAATCTGAGCAACAGTAATTTAGTCAAGGTTATTAATTTAGCCGATTCTGATGCAGCGGTTAATTGGCAGTCTCTTTTGTTGCATGCACATTTTTCTACATCACTCCTGCCAAGAATCTCGGAAACATGGCTCCACGTCACACCGTCAATGAATTTTCATGCCGAGATCCGCCAGAAAGAGCTCCTTTTTTTGTGCTCTCCGGTTCTACCTTAACTATAGCTTTCATTTCATCCAAGTGAGAGCCGTATGTATTCACTGAACATAATGTTCTCATTTTAAATGGTAATTTCAATTAAATAAACAAATATGAAAATGAAATGTTCTGTCTTCAGATGTTATATAAACATTTGAGCTTGTGAGAGTCTTCAGAGAGGTGATTCTGTGCTAAGTGGAGCATAATTACTTCCAATTTGCTGCTTACAGTTTTATGAACTGAGCATGATTCAGATGAGTGTGGAGCGAGCACTTTTCATACCCTCGAATTAAACATTCCAGAGAGACAAAAGTGATTTTTTTTTTTCTAATCGAAACATCACAGTCATTGAGAAATGATAGTTAATCCAATTTATTCATGATCATTTTCACCTCTTTGGCTTTTGGCCCATGTAATGGAATCTCTTTCATGAAAAGAGATCTAATAAATGCATCATTAATATTAACTTGAAATAACTGTAGGCAAAGCGATGCAAAGTGTTTCATTTATTTTCCACTTTTTGGAGCCCATTCTGGGAGTCATATTTTATCTTTTGATCCTACATTTTTGAAGTTCTGAAGCTTGTTACCTGAATAAAAGTTTTGCTGGAATAAAAAAAGACAAAACTTTTAATTTAGATGCGACTGTCAAAGCTCAAAGAAGTCCGCTAAATAAAGTCAAACAGTTTCGATTCCAGGAGCTGTGTAAAAAATATATACAGAGAGATCTGAAATCAATCCGACTCTAAAGCAGCAAGAGAATTATTCATGTGTTACTGAGACTGTTGCAAGTCTATACAGGAGAGAGTGTGTACATAAATTTAACTTGACATTACAGCCAACAAATGCTTGGGTATGACCTTTATGTCTTTAATGCCAGAGCAATGCCAAATGTGTGACTTTATACAGTTTCCCATGACCTTTAAGTGGACATTTGCTGCCATGAAAACAGTGAGGTGCAAGATGCAGAAAACTCATCAAGTAGGTTCATTATTTAACGTGGCTGTGAGCAGACAAAGACTGAATTTTACATGCTCGTTATTCCTCTGTATATGACAGGAATCTATACGTCTATAATAGGTGTAATACCATTTATTTTTCTCTGCATCTTAGTTGTCAAACGGGGCACAATAATTGAGAAATGCATGTAGAAGTGCAGGGCTTGAAGCAGAAAAAAATCCTTTACCTGTAGAGGGGGCGGGCACCACATGACAGTGGAGCTATTGATTAATATTGGAAGATATTAATGATTCATAACAATAAAAATTCACCAAAATTATGGCACATTTTCCTAAAATTGCTGTTATAGTATGTAGAGTTCCCTCGGTTTGTTCGGTGATTTCGGGGTCTCTACTGTATAACAGTGGAGCTATTGATTTTTGTTTGCAGCGTCTTGCTCTGGTATCGTAATTTGCAGACGATCCCTGAATCAGTAAGATTCATCCAGCTCGAGGAACGGCTTGTTTTTTTGTAAAACAAATCGGTTTTTGATTCTTGTAGCTAGTAGCCTGTGCCATTACGACATGAAAGAGGTATGATTTGTGTTTAGACAACGTTTCGTCTCAGAGTTATTGATCCCGGAAGTCCGAATCTGTGAATATCTTCACAACTTTACCGAACTTTTTCCCACTGCTGCCAGTTATAAGCTTTTTGGCACACGACACACACAAAAAAGCACCTGGCACTTTCAGATTTCGGCACCAACTACTGTGAGGCTTTCCATCTTTTCCAGCCTCTTCCGCCCAAGCCCAGCTTCCAATATGGCCGTTTCTTCTCCTGGATGGATGTACCTGGCATCCATCGTTTGAAATTTGCCGTGCGGTGATGCATCTTTTTCTTCTTCCGCTTCCACTTCTTCTTCTTCTCTGGCAGGATGTACGCTATCCAGCGTAATGCTGTCCTCTACCGGTCAAATTCAGACCTAACTAACGAGAAGATTTTTTGTTGTTGTTGTTGACATGATTTAGAAAAAATGAAAATCCCGAGCTGGATTTCCGGCACTGTGCTGGAGGTCTTCAAGCCCTGGAAGTGACCCTGGTGATATGTCTGCAAGTTGAGCATTTTTCTGCCCCATGTCTTTGTCATGATATCTCGAAAACAGTGTCAACACAAGCAGTTAAATACCAGTCCAACATCAACAGTGAAATCCCAATTAATATTCAAAATCAGAAAGATAATCAATGACTAATTTCTAAAGCTGTCATCCAAACAGGCCTCACTGAGTGTTTCATAACTGACTGCATATAATTAAAAAATAAATCCATACTAATTCAGAATATGATTTATGAATATCTGTGACTTTATTCAATTATAAAGCACTTTTCAAAAGTGGGATCCAATACGTCATTATTACCTGGTTAAAACAGTCAACAGTCAAAGGAAAGCCAGATCACAGAAATGAGTTTGAAGAGGATGCCGAGTTCGCCCGTCTGACATCCTCAGACATGCAGGAAACTCCACAGCTGTGGAGCTCAAACTGCAAATACTCGATCACATCTCATGATCAGCTGAGACTTAGAAACCACGAGTATGGCCCCGCTCAAAGACCTCAGACAGAGATCAGGCTCAGAGGGAGTTAGTCTGGCACAAGCGTAGGCCAGAGCCTGAGTATTTAAAACAAGTGGTAAAATCTCAAATCCATTCTGGCGGGTAGAAGGGCAGCAAGGCCTTAAATCTTTGGGAGTTGCAGAGGGCTAGTGTTACGCTGGAATAAAGAGCTTTTCAATTGTAAACTTGGGAGGAAATAAAACTTTTCTCACAAGAGAAGAAGAATGACCTAAATTTAGTTAACGGTCTGTACTGAGCATAATAGGACTGCATAATTGTGGTCCCCTGGGTGTGAAAGGAAAGGCTGGAGTCAAAAACTCCTCAGATAGAAGACCCCAGCTGGGCAACGGAGTTTTGAGTTAATGACAGCAAGTTCAGATTTGGAGTCAATCAGCTGCAGAAAATTTTCAGATACATACTACAGGACGTAATGTGAGAAAAATCAGTGGTTCCTGACTTTAATGAGGCAAAGAGCTGCATGTCAACCCTATAGCGGTATAAGTCCATACAGGATTTGCCCCAATGGAAGCATGTGAACAATGAATAATGAGAGACCCCTGGGGAACCCCACCAGAGAAAGGGGCACTGAAAGAGTAGGAATTGTGAAGCATTACAGAAAAAAAGACCACTTTGGTAGGAAGGAAATGAACCATGCACTACCACATCACCTGTTCCAACAGAGTATTTCAGTGATGTTTGTAGAGCTGTGTGAATACTGATCATACCGATAACATTTCATGACAATCCCAAACAAATCATGAGATAACATCGCTCCTCTTACATGTGATCTGTTGCTTATTTCACCAGCAGCTCACTCTGAATGTCATGTGCTGCATGGATTCAGCATATGTATGTTGTGTTTTCACTTTCCCTCCATATGGGGAACATTATACATAATGCATGTTTAGGGTCCACATAAATATCCAGCAAGCAGAAGTGCAGAACATACAAAATCCAATTCCAATGAAGTTGGAAAGATGTGTAAATCGTACGGAATACAATGATTTGCAAATCCTTTTCAACCTATATTCAATTGAATATACAACAAAAACAACATATTTAATGTTACAACTGATAAACTTAATTGTTTTTCTGCAAATAATCATTCACTTTAGAATTTAGTGGCAGTAACACGTGACAAAGAAGTTGGGAAAGGTGGCAAAAAATACTGAGAAATTTGAGGAATGCTCATCAAACACCTATTTGGAACATCCCACAGGTGAGCAGGCTAATTGGGAACAGGTGGGTGACATGATTGGGTTTAAAAGCAGCTTCTCGAAAAATTCTCAGTCATTCACAAGCAAGGATGGGGCGAGGTTCACCACTTTGTGAACAACTGCATGAGCAAATAGTCGAAAAGTTTAAGAACAACGTTTCTCAAAGTACAATTGCAAGGAATTTGGGGATTTCAACATCTACGGTCGATGATATCATAAAAAGGTTCAGAGAATCTGGAGAAGTCACTGCACGTAAGCAGCACGGCAGGAAACCAACATTGAATGACCTTCAATCCCTCAGGCAGCACTGTATCAAAAACCGACACCAACGTGAAAAGGATATCACCACATGGGCTCAGGAACACTTCAGAAAACCACTGTCAATACAGTTCGTCGCTACATCTGTAAGTGTAAGTTAAAACTCTACTATGTAAAGCAAAAGCCATTTATCAACAACATCCAGAAACGCCGCCGGCTTCTCTGGGCCCGAGCTCATCTAAGATGGACTGATGCAAAATGGAGAAGTGTTCAGTGGTCTGACGAGTCCACATTTCAAATTGTGTTTCGAAATAGTGAACGTTGTGTCCTCTGGGCCAAAGAGGAAAAGAACCATCTGGACTGTTGTTGACGCAAAATTCAAAAGCCAGCATCTGTGATGGTATGGGGGTGCATTAGTGCCCAAGGCTTGGGTAACTTACACATCTGTGAAGGCAACATTAATGCTGAAAGGTACATACAGGTTTTAGAGCAACATATGCTGCCATCCAAGAAACGTCTTTTTCATGGATGCCCCTGCTTATTTCAGCAAGACAATGCCAAGCCACACTGCAGTCTGGACTTGTCTCCCATTAAAAACGTGTGGCGCATTATGAAGCGTAAAATACAACAACGGAGACCCCGGACTGTTGAACAACTGAAGCTGTACATCACGCAAGAATGGGAAAGAATTCCACCTTTAAAGCTTCAACAATTAGTCTCCTCAGTTCCTGAACGTTTATTGAGTGTTGTTAAAAGGAAAGGTGATGTAACACAGTGGTAAACATGCCCCTGTCCCAACTACTTTGGCATGTGTTGCAGCCATGAAATTCTGAGTTCATTATTATTTGCAAAAAAAATTAAGTTTATGAGATTGAACATTAAATATCTTGTCTTTGTAGTGTATTCAATTGAATATGGGTTGAAAAGGATTTGCAAATCATTGTATTCTGTTTTTATTTACATTTATCACAATTTTCCAACTGCAAAGGAATTGGGTTTTGTACTTTACGAATAAAAAAATCACAACAGGCTGTAAAATCAGAGCTTTCGACTAAATATTTCTCAGGTCTGCTTTGTTCACTTGACCACAAGTGGATATGAGAGTTCCCACTCGAAACAAACACCATGAAAACAGGTATGTTACGTAAAGATATGGGTCTGTGTGAGCAGGTTTGACAGCCCTCCCTCGAAAACCCTGCAGCCTAAGCACTGCGGAAACAAGAAAAAGGAAAATGTCAAGCTATAGATCTTTGGTTTAACTGACTATCCAGTTGAAGTCTTCAGATAGCGGCACACTGACATTTGTTGGCTACCTCTGTCTGGAAAACTGCTTCTGCCTCACAAGTGACCTTCCCAGGTCTATTTTTGTCAGGTAATGACTGTCATTATGAACGCCTTTGCTTTACATCACTTCTGCTGTGCCAGTCGTGCACAGGAAGAGACATTAAGAAGATGATAGGCGTGCGGCGCTGATCACTGTGAATCTGTCCGGTATCCGTGGAATAGCTGATGGACTGTCAGGTTTCTACGTCCTCCTTCAGAAAGGAGGAGCAGGGGAGAAGAGGAGGAGGAGGAGGAGGAAGAGGAGGAGGGGAGTGGGGGGATAGAGGTGCCGCCCTATCAGAGTGTGCTTCAGTGCCTCCAGCTCCCTCTTGATTGCCTGACATTCTTTATCAACAGTCAAGTAATTCTGTTCCCTTGGCAACAGTTTCCTGCTGATACAAAGAATCAGGTATCACCTTGAAAGTTTAAGAGTGTGGTTGGCAGCTTTGGTGTTTTCATTTGCGTGCAGCAGCAACATCATTTTCAGGAGGGAACTGGGGTTTGGTTGAAAGCTTTAAGCTTTTATTTTCATCCCTGTCCACCTGCAGCGGCCTACACTCAGGTCATGGCACCCTTCTATTAATTCCTCTTTACCTCTCTGGCCAGTGACTGCAAAGGTTACCACACAGTTTAACCACAGAGATAGATCTGATCTCTCTCACAGCACCGCCTGGGTCTGAATTACTATCTTATAATGCAACTTGAATTTAATTCCCATTTCATAGGGCTTAGGAGGCTGTGAGATTAGCAGCCTGGATGTAATATTTTAGAAAGCTTTTTGTTTTGTTTTGACCTTCTGGGGATTGTGAAGGCAGATCACAAAATGTTATTCAAATGATGCTTTTGACTCCCAGACTGGCACTGACATGCATCAGCGCCGACTTGAATGGAACATAGATATATTCACTCGGGCTGCACGACATCAGGCTGTGCGGTTTCCTGAAATATTTCCCTTCACTTATATTTCATCTCCGTCTCTCTGCCTCAGAGTATATTTCATGTTCTGCCTACAGTCTGGCCGGGAAATAAGCAGTTGCACCTGTAACCTGCAGTTTTCTTGAGCACATCGAGTAACTGCAGCAAATTAAAAGTCTACGACTGTTTGTTGAGTTTTTTCATAATAGAAAAATACAAACTTTGGCTCAAAACTTTTGGAGATTCAGCGCAGAAAAGAGCTGACTTGCATGTGCCTGAACATCATTTTCTGGAAGTGCTGTATGCAATAACCAATTTTTTAACTTATGAATAAACATCAGACCAAACAAGCTGTGCGGTGTGTGTAGTCGGCTTTTGGACTGGTAAACTCAGAGTAATCCTTGCATTAGAGAACTCTTTAATACCACAGCATTATCAACTTCTAACTTTGGTATAACTCTAGAAGTAGGGCTGGGCGATAAAATGATAATGATAGATTAATTAATTTCCCTCGATATCAGGATAAAACATGGTCAATATGCTTTTCAATAGTTGGCATTCTGCCACGTTTTGGTTGCTCCAAGTCTGCGCCGCGCCGAACCAATCATGTGCTGAATTAGAACAAAGTAGCAAACAACTGCGTAGTTGTAGGCTACGGCTACACGCAACCATAGCACGGTAAGAAAAAAAGAAAATGAGAGCTACCCCCGGCAGAAATGCAGATGATGACATCGTCAACAACACTGGCACAAAAACGTTGGTGGTGTGGAGATATCTTCGTCTCTTGAGGTCGGACATAAAGCAGAGTAATGTGCACTGCGAATCAAGTCAAGTACATGTTCTCGCAAAGTCTGGGAATACGTAAAATCTTTTTCGCCACCTGAAGCAGTGCTACCCAGCAGAGCACGCGCAATGCAAAAGGTTACAAACCCCGAGCAAAGCAAGTGCGAAGCAGCCCACAGCACCTGTGCAGCTGAAACAGCCGACCATTCAGTCCGCTTTATCTAGCGCAACGCCTTACGACAAAACATTAAGGAGACACAAAGACCTCACAGATGCAGTAGATTATTGTATTTTAAAAGACATGCTACCAATAAGCACTGTTTTATTAAATATAAAAGTAAAAGGATTCATTTAAGATTGACAAGTGATTTTTTTTTTCTATCATGATATAAATCGATATCGATTGATATCAAAAATACATATTGTGATGAACTTTTTCCCATATCGCCCAGCCCTACCTAGAAGAAAACGACGATTAGAGCATACATTTTGATATAACACTATGATCATACACTCTGACATATTGCTTAGTTCAGATCAGCATAATCTTTAGTGTTAACCTCAGCCTTACTGTGAGATAGTGTCCTTAGAAAAGGGTCAAATCAATACTTTTCAATATATTACACAGACAAGCTGAAACAAATCAAACGAAACAAAACAACCATGCTGTCAGCTTCACGGGAAATATTACTGCATTTTATTCACAAGAGCTATGTAAAGTCTTTTAACAGCAGGGTGTCAAAGACTTTAGTCGTCTTATGTTTGTGAATGAATCACTCTGACAGATCGCACAATCGGGGATATGAAACATGTCATTTTTAGCGTGGGCTTCAGTTAGATACTTTTACAACGTTTCCACATTTTCCTCTAATTTTAGACCAAGTTTGGCACGAATACTACGTTTTCAAATGTATGAGACGCTGTGGTGCATTTGACTATGGCTTTGTTCCTTCATGCATACCTCCATCGGAGTTCTCATGTCAAAGGTTAACATGTACCAAATAGTACAGGGGAAAGATAAACAGGCGAAAGCAAAGGAAAGGTTTCAACATCCGATCTGGCTCACATGGCCAGCTGATCCTCATGGGTCAAAGGCTTTATAAAGTTCTGTGTTAAGGCTGCTCTCCAGGTGCACTCATGTGCACACAGAGTGAGCAAAAGGAAAAGTCTGTAGGAACTGTCAAAATATTGAAAATGTAGGGAGACACACGGCTGTAATTTTTAGTACCGTGGGCTTTTGCAGGCTAGAGCTGGACAGTAATGTTTTCTTTATAAATAACCCGACACAGAAGGAGAAGAGAAAATATGTATTCTTTGTCCACTGATGTTCCCCATAAATGCAATTGCACACTACTGCCAACCTTTTTAAATGACTACTCTCAGCTACAACAACAGCAACAAAGCGAAATTCACTGCTGCCTCCATGAAAGCAACTCAGTAACATAATGGAATTTCTGACTGGTTTTTCACACACTGTCATATGAAAATTGTTCAAATGTACGTGGAGTAAAAAGGAGATTCAAAGCAATGTCAGCGTTCAGACATAAATGGATTACTTCTAAAATAATTATCTACTTAAGGTGCGTTTAATGCATCTGAGGATTTAAATCGCTATCGCTTTGATTTGCACATAATTAGCACATGCATGAAGGAGCTTTTTCTTGAAATAACAAAGTAGTAACGTAGTAAAAAGAGATTCTATACTATGACATTCAGGAGGAACTTCCAAGGATGGTAGTGGATGAGAAATTGCTACGAGTGGTCAAAAATTAGGGATTTAACCCAAGTCCAGTTAAAAATATATGTTTGTATTGGTTTACAAAGTCAGGAAAGCCTTGTGTTGCTGAAATAAAACTCCTGGTCTCATCACATCAAATAAAACTGTCAAGGAGAAGTTGTGTCGTCCAGATATTGAACTGTTAGCATTTGCTCTTTGGCAAATATTACAATCCAAGGGACTTCAGTCATATCATAACAAGACTGACGACGGCTGAAGTTCCTTGTTCAGTTTTCAGTTTCACTTGATTGGAATCAAGTTGGACTCAGTGAAGGATGTGGTTGAGAGATGCACACTCAGCAAGGTGGAGGCCATTCGAAAGAACATGGATCGTCCAGTTCATAACACCTTGATGGACCTAAAAACAACAGCGGAGGACGACTATTCTGTCTTAGCTGTAGGACTGACAAATTCATTTTTTTACCCACAGCCATCAGATTTCTTCAGTCTTCTATAAATAGTAACATGAGATTCCAGACAAATGAATGTCCCTTTGGGGATCATTAAAGCTTTTTTATTGTATCTTCATTTTGAGGCACATAAGTTCTTAATTTAAAAGGTACAGTATGAAGTATTTCCTGTATTTTTCGGGCAATAAGGCGCACTGGATTATAAGGCGCACTGTAAATTAACGTGTCTTTGTTCACACATAAGGTGCACTGGATCGTAAGGCGCATTAAGCATTAATTGGTTTATTGTTGCTAGCGCATACTAGTTTAGACATCTTGTAGACTGCTAAGGGGTCCTATTCTGGGGCTGATCAGGTAGTGACACAGCGTACCGTAACGCTCCAATTTCTATTGAGTGGAGCAACTTTGTTGCCAAAGTCGTACTTTAACATTTCAACAGATTTTTGAGTTCATTGTACCACATAAAATCAGTCAGTAATCACAACACATAATCATACATAAGGCGTGCTAGATAATAAGGCGCACTGTCAATTTTTGAGAAAATTAAAAAGGATTTATAGTGGGCCTTATAGTCTGAAAAATATGGTTATGGAATATTTAATATTTACAGATGAAAGTGGTGAGCGGGGGGATGTTCAAACTCTGTCTACACTATGCATCCTTTAAATAATCGTTCCTTGCCCATGAGTTTTACATCTTAAAGTACAATTCGTCCTTCATATCTTGTATCTTTGCACAACGAACTGTTCTGCAGTGTGCAGGGGTTTATTTTAGGTATACTGAGTACTGCAGTAGCTCTCATTAAATTTATTAAATGCCTACATCTGTCAAGAGGTGTAGAGATCACTCTTGTTTATTTCCTAACAGCATACTTCTGTCAGAAAATATCTTGGCAAATTATTTGAAAATTATAGAGCCATAAAATTAGGTGTTGTTATAAATTACTAGAATGAAGCCGTTAATTGTCCCTAAGCACTGCTTTGCAAAACACGTTTATTAGTTTTATTCTACCCCTCTGTTATTTTATAAGTAATTAGATGTATATTTACTGGGTAAGTGAGTGATAAATAGAGTGTGGTGTGAAAAAATATGACATCCTGGGTTCAGTTTGTGAATACAGAGTGGATTGTGTGTGTCAGGCAATGTGAAAAGGTCTTAAATGTGGACTGAAGCCAGTTCAATGTGAGAGCCGGGGTGAACGAACGCCCTTCAAGCGCTGGAAAATATGAGTCCCACTCTCTGGGAGTTTTGTCAAGGCAGCATTAATTGGGACCGTGGTGAAGAAGGTGACATGCACAACATGCTGAAACAAGCATCTTCTCAGCCTAGAGGAGCAATACCAATATTTCATCCTGATCTCTTTCCAATAGGTAGCGGCAACCACAAACATGGACACACCTGATTTACTGCTTCTTAAAAATGTAATTGTGGGCTCTGACAAGTAAAATTTCTCATCTGATCATCTGCACGGTGAGTCTGTTGTGGGTAAATGCCTTCTTGAACAGTGTGAGTTTTCACATTTTATTCTCCCCTTTTTTCCATTAAGGATGTGGCATTGATTATTGTGGATGTAATCAGCAGTCCTGGCAGTGTGATTAGTACAGCCAAACCTCGACGCTTTGCCGCAATCCTGCCATTTTTATCTGTGCACACCGCAGAGGAGATCCAAGAAACCAAACAAAGAGGTTTTATAATGATGCATTTTAGTTTCTCAAATGATGTCACTCTGGTATTATCACAGCGATAACCCTACTGGATCCGAGGAATTAGCCACCGCTCATAGCCAAATACAGCCTCATGAGCTGTGCTGAAGCTCTTGAGCAGAGGAGAGCACAGAGAGTCGTTCTTGGGTGTGAAAAACTCAGTGTGTGACAGGTTGGATTTTAATGGGTGCACTTTGCACCGTGCAAATGAGGTATACAAATGAGGGGGGAATGCAGTTTCATTCAAAGTAGGGGGTATAATTTGCAGGCTTTGTGAAAGTCAAGTAAAGACTTTCTTTCTAAAGCGGAGGCAATATTTCTGTCCATGTGAATTTCTGCTTGGAAAAGGTGCACATGAGCTGAATATCATATATTTTTAAGGGTAAAATGTAATCATTTAATCATTTTCAAGTAATACCTAACATGTGAAGTGTTTGGTTTTCCCAAGGTGATCTCGCCCAGTCAGAGGTTAAATTCTTATAATAGGAAATGCATTGCAGTGTCACCGGCGTCATTTTCTACAAGGCTCAGGGGACACTGACTGTTGGTAAACACATTCCCTTTCTTAGACCTGCTAGATTGACTCGCATGAGTGGGGCAATTAAAAAGGAATATGTGGACAATTAAACTAAATGGAACTAATTGCTTCAATCATCACTTCACTGTGCTTTTTTTTTAAACACGCAGCAACAACTGAGAATTTATTCCTCCCCTGTTTAAGAGTCCGACGGCAGCATAAAATTTCCATTAGAAGTGTCTCTGAGCTGCAAAATCTACACTTCTGCATTTCCTCCTCTGTGCAGTTTTTGTTTGGGAAATATAAAAATCCAGCACTACCATAGAATGATAAAAAGGTTTAAAAACAAGGGCATAAACACAGTTTTTTTTTACATTATACTATTCAGTTTTTACTCAGGTAGTAAACCCATCAAAATGATTCATTATCAAGTTTCATGATAAGCAATCGTTTTTGTTTCAGTTACTTCCACATAGGTTGTTCAAGACTAGAGGTTAGACTGCACTCTCTCTGCATTGCACCATGTTGTGGTGTGACCATAGACTGTATATACTACGGACAACTTGGTTCCGCCTTCCGCAAGTATACGGATTTAAGGCCAAAAAGCTCTCTGTATTTCCAGGTTTTTCCTCCACTTCCTGAAACCTACATTGCGCAGGAGCATTGTACGGCGGCTCTCCCGCATCCGACGTGAGAGTCACAGAGAATCGCTGTGATGACGCTCGGCTCAAACAGCGTATTCCCCGATTGAGCTACGCAATCTTCATATGCCCATAGGCTGTATCAAGTGTCAATCATAGAAAACATGAACCCCCTAATAACTTTTAAAAACGGAGCTGTACAGAAAAAAGAGGACTTGAGCACAAACCAGTTTTACAATAACTACATGTCAACATCGCAACCGGGGGGGGGGGGGGATTTATATTACGTGTGATTAATTTCTAAAGTTTGTCCACAGCTCCATAGGGATTACTGGAGGAGGCGAGATTTATGACCTATACTGCAGCCCGTCACCAGAGGGTGCTGTTCTCGTGTGGCAGACGACCTCCATTCTATATACAGTCTCTGTATGCGACTGTTGCCATGGTGTAGTTTGACTGACATATGTCAATCGCACATTAGCTTTCATGCCCTTGTGGTCCTGAGAAATAATCTCAGCTGTTTCGGGACAAAGTCTTTCAATAGTTATGGTTTGAATCATATTTAGTGGCAAAAACATGAAAGTTATCAAGCTTCAATTCCCAAGAAGTTATCTCCGGCTCCACATTCTTTAGTTAAAAGAGCTGCTGAGATTCTGTAGTGCCTTGAGATTAGCTCACTTATTAGACCGCATCCTAAAAACAGTAACCCTTATCTGTCATGAAATGGAGTTTTGGCCGGCAGTGAATGTTTTATTAGATAAAAGGTTATATTGTTAGTGGAGGTGGGCCTTGTTTCAGCAGAGGTGGCTGACTCCATTATTTAACTGTGCAGGAAATCCTGCTGCCCACACTTAATGGAGCTATCATGTATGGTCACTGCGCTGCTTCTAACCTGGAAGACCATTAGACATCATTTACTGAGTGCTGTTTGATTTATCACTCAGCATCGCTATAGCATTCCTCTGTGTGTTATATGAAAAGGTCAGGCAATCATCTCTGACATCTGAGACCCTTTACTGTACCCGTGTTACACCCTCTAAGACCTACACATATAAGCTGCGGAAATATTTAACATTGTAAGTTGGGGGTCAAAGTAAACAGCTACAGAGTAGTTGCACTCTAAAGTTCCTCTACGCTTGCGCACACACAGTTCTGCTGCCTTTAAAGCAATTTGAAGTTAAGAGGCCATCAGTCAAAATATATTCAAACAGATTGAGAAATAAGTAAAAGACAGTCCAGGTTATTCATAAAAAAAGGTTTGGTGAAAAATGGCTGTTTAAACGGATATTTCTGTGGCAATCTATTACACTCTATCACAATATCACAGCCATTTTTAGCACATATATTACAAATAACCCCACCAGTCATTTATTTATTATGCATTATCCCTAATTCTTAAAGAGCAACTGATTACTTTACATCTTTATGACCCTCCTCATTCTATCTGCAACACATTTTAACAGGATTTTACCAAACTAAATACACTT